AATGAAGTCTTTGTTTAATTTTATGAAAGAAATTGACTCGTGCTTGACCAGTTTGTGTTATCCGTGTTTGTTCATTATATTAGAAAACGGGCATTGCTGTTTAATCTTAAACATAATATTTTCTGAAAAAAAGTGTAGAGCACAGATATCCCATTGTGTAGCTTTGTGCTTTACCTCAAACAAAAACTAATTTTATATTTACTGCACAACATGACAATATCCGCGAACTCACGCTGACGGAAGAGCGACATCTAACGGGAATCATGGTGATATTATTCAAGCCTTCTTATTAGGATATTGAAGATCAATGTGAGATCAACTTTCTAGTAACAAACAAAGTATTAAAATTTAATATTTTATCAAATGTAAATAACATTGTTTTTTACAACTATCAGTACTGAAACGTTTTTTTATTGCAATTACAGTTTCGGCTTTTTAAGTAAACCATTAAATCTGAGATGCTGTTACTAAAGTTGTATCAGTCTAAAATGAACACGCTGCTACAATCAGGGTTCAACAATAAAAAAACATGATTTATTCAACAATAACAACACTTAGATATAAATTCAACACTTACCAAAACATAGTTAATAAACAAGTGCCTAGCCAGGATTTCACACTAATATTAATAAACACTATATCATCTATATTTCATGTGTCTATATTATCTCAAATAATGAAATCAGGAAAAGGAACCAGAAAGAAAATAACCTAATTCCAAAATAATACAACAAATACAATATTTAAAAAATACCTTTCAATATCGAGTGATAAACAACTTTCTTTCTTAGCGAAACTTCTGGCAGGGTATTTATTTACAGAGTAGGTCACGATAGTACACCTTATGTGATAATAAATTTACATACTCTTCTAAGCGGATGATGCTACTAAGATTATTACTGCTAGGGCAGATGGTGTTTCTTTAAATGGATAGTTCAATAGGATGATAAGCTTATCGTAGGGTGTCTGAACTTGTGATTATGTCATCAACATGTAATTATAGATTTAATTATATGTCCTAAATAGTTACAGGCAAAATCAATATTTTAACAAGACAACAATTATAACATAGTGTATTACATATGTAAGTTTTTATCACACATACTATCTTGACTTATCCATTATTTGAACGAGGCAAATATTATAGCTAGTAATTTACTTTAAATACTTTTACAATTGTCTGTCCTAAAAGGATTTTATTATACATAATGTGTCATTTTTACAAATATTGAATGAAACAGTTAATAGAGCCAACTGTACTTTTAAGTATCGATGTAGAATGTATTTAACGTACTGATTTTAGTTTTGGTTCTATACTTAATTTGCATGACATACTTTTAGCATTTTCAGACGTTTTATTTGTAAAACACTTGTCGCTAATTCATTTCTATGATCAATATATTATATAACATCTATTCGCCCTGAAAAGGACACTTATTTAAATCTCTAAATAATGTACAATAATTTCATATTTAGATTTATATGTTGATTTGTTCCGCTGAAGTTTAAAGGATCTATGTAAATTATGTTTAAATATTTCCATTGTTACCTTTCTGTAGATGTTTCCATAAATCTTTGTATAGAGCTTGTTTCTTGCTAACTGAAACTTTATGCATATAGGCTCCATAAGAAATATTCTTAACATTTTGAAAAACCAACGTTTACTACATATAGGTCACTCATTCAACCTATTGCTGACGCATCGCACCTGGTGGCAAGTTGACGTGTTGCCTAAGGCTAAAAGAAGTAATTTTTTTTGTTTCAATATAACTCACAGACAAACCAGAAATTATATTTCTGTAACTTTCAAACTTCACTTTATATACACTATAGCATATAAAATTATTAGTTCACCTCAGCATCAATTGCATCTTTCACAAATTAACATAGTTTATAAGTGAAAAAAAAAGAGTTGCAAATCATAGTCTTGAAAGGACCTTTAATTATAAATCAAGTGATTATTTTTTCAGATTTTATAAATCCAGCACATTTACTGTTTATCATTACAACAACAGTATAAAATCACAGTCTTGACAAGCATACTGAAATATTTTCTAACAAAACTTCAAGATAAACTAATATACTATAAACATCCTAGCTTGTAAAATATAAATTAGCTTTCATACACATTTTTTCTGAATTATGTTCATATTACTATTTTATTTAGAGTTCATATTTTTCATTTGTGTAACAATGTGTGAAAACAAACACTGAATTTGTCACGAGACATTGTGCTAAAGCCATATCCCTAAATAAATAAATTAATAAATGATTCAATGCAAACTAAATGTAAGGTTTCAGTTTATAGGCTCAGAAAAACTAGTTTATCAACTATATTAAAACAGATAGTTTATTCATATAGATTTTTGAAACATTTGTTTTGGTAACATGTGATGTATTATCTTTCACTGACACTTTATAGAAAGATCATGAAATATATTAAACGCCAATTAAAAATCGGTGTTCTGTAATTTTTTAATATAAAACTCATATTTCATCATAGCCCAAGATGCTATCATTAATATATGTAAGTAAAATAATAGACTTAACAAGTACCATACATACTGAAACATTTATTAACAAAACTTCAAGGTACACTAATATACTATTTATGTTAATATTTCAGTTTATAAAATACTGGTCTAGCTTTCATACAACTTTTATAAACTGTGTACACATTTCTACTTGTTCATTTCAGTTTAGTAGGAAAGATTTTTAATATAGTTTATAAACCAAAAAGTTAGTACACAATTCTTGTATTTCGCTGAGTTTATCATACCTTACAACAAAAAAACATTTTACACTCACTACTCAATAAGATTAAACTGAGCCTGACATACAGGAATTAGCTAAAATTTCACAGATGGTCATTGGAAAATATATCTTATACTCATCTTACATTGATAATTCACTAACAACCTAATTCTACTCTGTTCAGACTAAAGATCAAATGCCAAATAATTACATGTCTAGCTTAGTATTTTATGATAAATTACATCCCATGAATATTAGTTTCTAACAAGTATGTTAGAACATCTAATACAAGTCTCCATTTATATTTCTTATGTAAAACCCGTATTTCATCATAGCACAATGTGCTAAAAATCACAGACTTAACAAGTCTGACACATTTATTAACAAAACTTCAAGATATACGAATACACTATTACGATAACATCTTAGTTTATAAAATACTGACCTACAGCCCAAGGTTATAATACCTGTGGTATACACTTGCTCTAGACTTTTATTAATGAAATAGAATAATAAATCTTCATAAACGAAACATAAGTGATATTCCTTAAAATTATTCGAGCTAATATGATCATAGAAAGTTTGTTCTACAAAACATATCATGCATTCAAATCCATAACTTATTTCAGTATACCCATCCTGCTAGACATTAAATATTTTGCCCCTCACACTAACCCTTCCCCTATTGCTTAAAACTGACATGTTTCATCATAACTTACTATGCTGTCATCAATGTATGTAAGTAAAATGACAGACTTGTCGAATATCACATATACTGAAACATTAATTAACAGAACTTCAAGCTAGAAAAATACGACTTTATCCAAGATGTATCACAAATAATTTGCATACATTCTACTTTCGAAGCTTTTAAGAACAAAATATGTAAAAGTTCTTGACAAATTATTTAAATTTTGTTGCTTCTTACAATAAAAAATATGGTCTCCAAGAAAAGACGATTCTTTCATATTTCATAAATGCATCACGCTTAATGTTTATCATTACGGAATATACTTTACATCCAAAAATACGTTTTATGTAAGAGTAACTTAATTAATGAAGAATGTATTTTGTGTGTCACTGAACTTAACAGTCAGTAAAAAGTGAATGTATCTATTCTTCCACTTTACATAACGATATAGAAAACTAAATTTAGATTCACGACATTCTCAAGGTTTGAGGGAAATTATTTTCTATTTTAAGTTACAACTTTTTTCGATCTAGAACTACTATTCTTTATAAATATAACATACCAAGATCTATACATAGTCTGATTTGATGACGACAAACCCGTTTTTTAGGGAATACAAATCTGGTGGTGGCCTGAATGGGTAATGATAAACTTTATTATAAATGTACAATGCTTCGACAATATTATGGCATCACCATGTCCATCTTCTTCATGGTGTAATTGTTTAGACATGTAAAGAAATATCATCCACCTTACAATTTGGGTTATGTTCTTCACATTTGTCTGATGAACAAATTCTGCTGACAGCTCATGTTTGGGAATAACATAAACTGAAACATTTATAAATTATAAGATCCTGAGGAACAAATTCTGCTGACAGCTCATGTTTAGGAATAACAAAAACTGAAACATTTATAAATTATAAGATCCTGAGGAACAAATTCTGCTGACAGCTCATGTTTAAGAATAACATAAACTGAAACATTTATAAATTATAAGATTCTGAGGAACAAATTCTGCTGACAGCTCATGTTTAGGAATAACATAAACTGAAACATTTATAAAGATACTGGATTGTGAAGATGTAATTAACTTTCATACATGTCTAGTAAGTTTCAGCTAGCATACAATTATCATATACTTTCTACTTTGTTAAACTCTCGGACTGGATAATTGTGTAAACAAGACAAATGAACATTTAAGAAAGTTACAAAAACACAGACAAGATACAGCCTTTTATTTATCTAGACGTGTGTAATATTACAGGAAATCTTGTGTTCACTGTCGGACAATGAATAAACGAAGGGAATGAAATATTACAAGATATCTTCCCCTCGTTTACTCTTTGTCAATGAACACATTGAAATATTACAGGAAATCTTCCCCTCCTTTATTCTTTGTTCGACATTGAACACATTGAAATATTACAGGAAATCTTCCCCTGTTGAACACATTAGTAAACATAACAAATGCTTGTAATTTGATGAAAATATTTAAATAAATATATATTTTATTAAATAACACTAAAAGTTACACATTAATTTTCTTAAATTAGTACGGGATTAAAAAGAGGGAAGAAAAAGAAGCAGAGATGAACCAAGCTATTGCAGAAGGGGGTCTCAATCGGAGGAAAAAAACCCCTGCAGAACTTGCTGCGGAACAAGAAGCCGAGGAACTGGATGACTTCACAAGTAAGTCTACCATTTGTTTCAAGGAAGATTTAATGGCTTAGTTACTATAAATTACAAGCGATGGACGTATATACCTAACTAACTATTCGTAAACATTGAAGTGTTTGAACATAATAAATATTTGCTTGAGTTGTTGGATCACGTGATTTTACACTTTGAGTATATTGAAGATACAACAATACTAATATCAGATTTATACAAGGTCAAAGCAGAGTTTGGATTTCTCTGAAGTTATGTTTATTGTTTTACGATCTTACTTTCTACTATTTTACTTCCTTGGTACATATTCGAGCTTGGGTTTGAACTGTCTTACATGGACGGTTTCTACTATTTTACTTCCTTGGTACATATTCGAGCTTGGGTTTGAACTGTCTTACATGGACGGTTTCTACTATTTTGCTTCTTTGATACATATTCGAGCTTGGGTTTGAACTGTCTTGCAATACATGGACGGCTAATTTTACTTGCTAGAGACGATCATTATGTCCGACACAAACTAAAACAGAATACCATTCATCACAGTCTAGCTGCCTTAAAACAACTGAAGTTAGGCTTATCAATTTGGTATTTATTGTACAGTATCCTATTGACTGGCTGATGTTTTAAGACTACAGCTTTCAACCACACAAACTCAAGCTGACCATGGGCATAAAAGTTCAACAGGCATGTGTCCGAATGTACTTGCTCTATTTCTGAGGTCATCTTTTTTTCATCTCCATGTAAATAATAGAAGAATCCAATCTTTGAAATATTGTCTTTTGTCCCTGTATTGTTTAATAATTTCGTTGTACGTACATTTCTCGTCAGAGAGGGAAACAATATCCAATTTCCCTCTCTGACGAGAAATGTACGTACGACGAAATTATTAAACAATACAGGAACAACGGTGGTTGGATATTGTTTCCCTCTCTGACGAGAAATGTACCTACAACGGAATTATTAAACAATACAGGAACAACGGTGGTTGGATATTGTTTCCCTCTCTGACGAGAAATGTACCTACAACGAAATTATTAAACAATACAGGAACAACGGTGGCCATATCCAACCACCGATCAAGTTTGTCGACTTGCTTTTTACTGCGGTACAATTGGCTATCTATCACACGACTGGAGTTCGTCCGTTACCTAATTTACATTCGTTTCAATAATATGTAAATGATGATGATAATATGTATTTTTCCCCATGTTTTGAAACTTGGAATGAAATTACTCTGTTGGATCCAACTTAGATCTCTTAATATGTTTTGGGATCACTTATAGAACATTTCTGTTGTGCTGAATGAAACAGATCTATCAGTCCTGATATTATAACTAAAATCAGGCCTGATTATACAGTGTGATCGAACAAAAGATTCCCCACTGATTTCTTATGAGGAGAATATTATACATAAATAGGAGACAAAAAAAATCAGTTTCAATGGAAAGCAGGGATCGTTGGTTATTTGTAGGATTGCTATAAGAAGTGTCCAAAACAAAACAAATGCTGCAATAAAAAAGTACACAAAGAAGTAAAGTGACATTAGCTGGATAGATTTTAAAACGATTGTAGGTGGTTCAACAATAAGTATGAGAGCTTATAACGCTAGGAAAAGTGGGGCGATGCCCACGGTGGGCAGAGCGTATAAAGCCCACTGTGTAGCTTTTCGATTAAAAGCAAACATATTTTCTACAGGAATTATTGGTATAACGATTGATAAAATATATAGTTTGCATCATAAAAATTTAATTACATTTTTCAATTACTTCTTCCAAGCTAGAATATTACATATCTTTAGAGCTTTCTTTTTCGCTCACAAAAATTATTCAATATTTAATTCTGTTTTTCGTGAGGTTTTTTAATAATATCTGCTTTTGCAAGTTACAAAAAAAAATACACAAAATATTTCAGATTAAAATTTTAAAACACAATTTCGTTTGTTTTCTTTCACATAATTGAAACAAACACAGAACTATAAGGTGTCATTTAAGAACGTTGTGTTTTATTATAGCTGGCCGTTTTGTTGTTTTGTTTTCTGTTTGTTTCTTTTGCATTTTGCGCAAAGCTACTCGAGCGCTATCTGCACTAGCCTTCCATAATTTAGCAGTATAAGACTAGAAGGAAGGAGTACCTAGTCATCACCACCCACCGCCAACCCTTGGGCTACTCTTTTACCAACGAATAATAGGATTGACCGATCCATTATAAAGTCCCCACGTCTGAAAGGACGAGCACGTTGGATAGGACGGGAATCGTTTTGTTTTTGGCTTTTTCAATATTTTCTGATCCTGTTTCTGTTTACATTCATGTTTTCGATAAAAACCACACCAGCACAACAATAAATTAGCCGTTTAATTCCAGCTCACTAATACATCAAAGAAGTAATTACTATAGTAATATAGTATAATTATGTGAAAAATAATTATTTATCAAACCTAAAACTGGTGATTTTCTTTGAAATAAAGCTCATGGTGAGGTAAAAGACCGTGGAATAAATAAAAACTTATGTAGTGAATAAAATCAACAAATTGAAAAATAATATTTATGTAATAATAGATCTAGAATAACAGTTCGTCTCAATGATTTCTACTTTCATAAATGTAGGTAAACAGAGTTTATCTACACTTATGAAAGTAAAATTTAACTTGTAACCTCGTTTCTAGTGTACTCTTGTTTCTGTTTACCTACACTTATGAAAGTAAAATGTAACTTGTAACCTCGTTTCTAGTGCTCTTGTTTCTGTTTACCTACACTTATGAAAGTAAAATGTAACTTGTAACCTCTTTTCTAGTGTACTCTTGTTTCTGTTTACCTACACTTATGAAAGTAAAATGTAACTTGTATCCTCGTTCCTAGTGTACTCATGTCAACGAGGTTACAAGTTACATTTTACTTTCATAAGTGTAGATAAACAGAAACAAGAGTACACTAGGAACGAGGTTACAAGTTAAATTTTATTTGCATAAGTGTAGATAAACAGAAACAAGTGTGCACTAGAAAAGAAAAGATAAAAGCTAGATTTTACTTTTATAAGTGTTGAACTATCTAGAAGCCTCTCGTAGATTGGCTGGAAGTTTGATGACCTATCTAAAAGTCTGTTGTAGATTGACTAGATGTTTGATAGGCCTATTTAGACGTCTGTCGTTGATTGGCTGGATGTTTGATGAACCTATCTACATGTCTGTCGTAGATTGGCTGGATGTTTGATGGACCTATCTAAAAGTCTGTCGTAGATTGACTAGATGTTTGATAGGCCTATTTAGACGTCTGTCGTTGATTGGCTGGATGTTTGATGGACCTATTTACATGTCTGTCGTAGATTGGCTGGATGTTTGATGGACCTATTTACATGTCTGTCGTAGATTGGCAGGATCTTTACATAATTGTGCATGAATACTGAGCTTGTAAAGTCTAAGTTTTGTATTGTATTTATATTTGTAGAAGTTAATCCACGCTGGGCAGACATGTTCTATGATGGGTGTATTTACTGTTTATAGATTTTTATGATATTTTGTTTTGATGTAGCTGTGTATTTACTGTTTATAGATTTTTATGATATTTTGTTTTGATGTAGCTGTGTATTTACTAGACAAACTCCTAGCGTACTTCGCTCGTCGCCATATTTTATTTCGGATTTAGTGTATATGTTTGGTCCACGTTAATTCACAATTAAAAGTCAAGCCCATAATTTTGCTGACGTGGAAGTCCAGAGAAGGGTGCCGTGTGATTACAACTGAGGTGGGTATCTATATACCTTAACTAGGGTTCCATGTGAGTACAACATAGGTGGATGTCTATATACCTTAACTAGGGTTCCATGTGAGTACAACTC